GCAATAAAAAATTATTTCGATCTTATCGCAAATTCGATCTCACATCACGAGAGTCGAATACCGAAATTTCGACATTTTGCAAAATGAATATTTACGTAATTCTCGTTGTACAAATTTGTCAATCGGTAATCATTAATTTTTTGCTCATTAGTTAAATTCGTTTGCGATGTGCTATCTGTTTCTTGATTAAATAGTAACGCCTCCCAACGATTCTTTATTAAATATCTTTTTTCAAAGAATCGTGATAATAAAATCAAAAACGAAGCATTAAATAGTTTCATCGCGAGCGCAGCGCTAATGGCCGGAGATAATCGTGATTTGTTTGTCAGTTAAAGTTCGAGTTTCTTTTCATTTTGTCGTCGGCTCTGCGCGCCGATGATTAATCCATTTCCTGACAATTTTCCATTTAAATTTGACCGTATCTAAACACATCTATCTTGTCATACATAATATTATCTGGATACATGTTTACTCGTCGAGCTCCACGTATTCATTCGACTCGTCGCTCTGCAAATAATTACGTCCCTTTAAACGCGGGCGTAGCTTCTACACAATTTTCGTGCGCATTATTGTCTCCTACACGATTCACGCGAATGATTAATTTTAATCCACGAAAATGTATTTCATTAAGAGGATACAATAATGCAACACGATTTAACTGGTAAACGTTCAAATATGTATACCGTCCATCAATATGATATTAAAATCATTACGAGCATACAATTCGACCGATTACGAGCACAAAGTTGAAATAATTATAAAAATAAATGCACGTATCGCCAATAATAACGTAATCGAGGATTCTGACACTCATGTAAAAATGAACTGGGATTCGAGATGCATAAACATTTTCAATATCACTGAGCTCGGCCCGATTAGTAGAAACCTGAGGTTATCGGAAGCTTAAACTTACTTTGGTCGCGTGTACAGGGTATTTCTGAATTATTTACATAACGCTTTCAAAGCGACGTTCCACACTCGGAAACGCTCGCCGAGTCTTGTGTAAAGCTTCAGAATTTTAGATTTAGACGATATTGTACGAAACTTCATTGAAATCCGACTTTATACCAAAATCAAAGGCATAAGAAAAAAACTGTGGATATTTATATTGTAATATTGATTAAAATGCATTATCATAAAAATATCAAGGTTTTATTCTAATAAACATTAAATGTTACTATTATTGTTCATTCATTTAAAAAAAAAAGAATTTTTAATTATATGAATAAACCGCCTATTATGGTTATTAAGAACTTGTATAGTAATTTTCATGAGAGCAGTTTTGAGGATGCAGGAAAGAACCAAGTGCAACGTTGTGGTTTAATCTATTTTTCCGGTATGCGGTAATTAAAGCGACGCTGTGTTCAAACAAATCATGAGAAAACAGATAAAAAAAGAAGAGTCTCGCATCGCTTGATAAGCCGCGGGTCTCCGCGGACCAGGGAGAAAATAAAGGAAGAAAAAGAAAGAATCGTGATTGCATGTGACACAGGAGTATCATAAATCGATTTATCTCCGGTTCGACTAAAACGTTAAATTCGCGATATTATATCCTTTTATATCCACCCCCGAGTAGAATCTACAACAAAATTCGCGGTATGATCACTGTTTTTCTTCTGCGTCCCCTGTGTCGACTTTTCATGCTGGTTTAAACAAAATAGCTTCCATTCGTGTATCTGTTAGTATATTCCACAGTTGCGTGTTCAAGTGTTCGTTATCAATACTTTAAGATCGATAAAGATGAAAATATAGTACAAGAAACGTGTTATTATAATTAAAATTGTTGTAATTAGGTTTCTGCATTTTTTATTCCAGAAAAGGAATACGTCTCTTGATAAAGTTTTATCTACTAATTAAACAAGATGTACTGGAGATAGGAAAACCGAAAAGGTAGCGAAAGAAATTTATAAAGAGTAAATGGAATTGTAAAGTTGATCAAACTTAGCAGTATTAAAAGCGCAAGATATATCGCTATCGACGGTGTTACCCATTAATCATGTCGGCTCGAAATAAGCTCGTACATGGAAACGTGTCGATGTAAAAATGTGAAAACTCTTTGTGGAGATGAACAACTGTGGGATGATTGCACCTCAAACGTAAATTGTATTTTAATTGTATCTCCTCCCCGGAGAGAAACGAAACGCCCTGGTGTGCAAGCATTAACATGAGACCAGATTTCCCAGGGAAGTATGCGTGAGGTGTCATACACGAGGATTCGAGTGGTTTCGTGGGTTAATCAATTTTAATCGCGGCCTTGATTTTTTTAATTCAAGAATCGTTCAACAGCAGAAAGTGAATTTACTCTTGTAAAATCTGTCTACAGAATTCTGCTGTGCACTTTTAAAATGTGATAAATGAAACTCATAAAAATAATAGCAAGATTTAAAATGAATGAAATTGAAATATTAAAAAAATGAAGCTACTCTCAGTATTCAGATAAATGAAAAATTAAACAACTTTCATTAAAATGTAAATGAGAAAATTTCTAGGAATAGTATTCACTAGAAATGCGATATCAGTAAGACAGTATATGACTCACAAGCAGATGTTGAGCGTTTCATAAAAATCTCTGTAAAGAAAGATCGAAAGAAATGAAAACTGATGCGCCGAGACGTCGTATCACGCTTTTTCACCTATGAGCTTTTCATCTATAAATCTCGGCCTTTCACCCAGCACCGTCTCAAGATTCCAGTTGAAACGAGTTTATTCCTTTTCAAATAGACACAGGGAAGGACGGAAGAGAAATGAGATGCCAGGAGTTGCATAAGAGTTTCAGTAAATTAATTAAATTTCTATTATATACACGGAAACGAGATTGCGAGCGAGATTTTCTGGGATGTAAATAGATAAATCGCTACGTTTATGCTTTTCTTTCTTATTCAGAGTACATTCGGATGAACAGCTTTAAAGAAAGCGGAAGAAATAGCAAGATTAAGAAAAGTGTAATATATACAAGATGAACAAATAATTCATTGCAGCGTGACGGCAATTAATAATAAAACAAATGATTTTCAGTTAGAAATAAATATATAAAAATATAAAAATGAACTCAACCCAATAAGACAGTAATTTCTATTTCAGACGATTTATCGATTCACCCGGTGTAGCTTTACACGGAGCCCGGCAAATTAATTAAAGTCGAATTAGGCAAAAAATCGTGCATTTCGACCGGGTCTTTTTTAGTCGAAGGTTAACGAGGTTCTGCGGACGATTCCTCGACTTGTACGACCCGGCCGCAATGCAATTACGTCCGGAACAGTGAGGCATCCCTGTTGCGTTGGAAAAATTGTCCCGTGCCTCTGTCCTGCTCCCTATGTATTATACATACATACATACATACATGTATTTAGCTCGTTCGGTGCTCGCGTTACAACGTTTCGGTTTCCTTGGTGAAAATCCAACGACGAGACGTACACGAAAGCAACGTCAGAGAAAATGTTGTTACGTCGTGGCCCGGGAAAGGTAAGGCCAAAGGGAATTCTCGTGTTCTCGTTTAAAAGAGTCCCTTCTACCGCCACCTGGCTATAAAAATGTCTTTTTGATACAATCTAGCCAAAGTGACTGCACATTAATAATTACAACTTGCGCGTACTTTTTTATAAACATTTTGAAAAGCCTTTGTTCCTCTCACGAGATTATTGCCCATTCATTTTTAATTTAATTCATTGTTACGAGAGTTTCTTATTTTGTAATGTTTTCATATCGATACTAATCTATTTCATTATTGTATGTGAACTCACACAATAACATGGAATTCATGGCCTTGACGAAATTATCAATGATTAACAATACACCGAGCACGAAGTTATCTGGGAGTAAATATTTCAGTGACTTCGGACCGGCACTAGCAAAACGAATTTTATCGTTGCACAAATTTGTACTTACACAAACGGTATTAGCAGGTCTAACTTATCTCTTCCCAGAACGAGTCATTTATCAAGCTCTAAAAAATGTCGCAGAATTATTAGGGTAAGTAGTATCAAAGGACCGTGAAAGGTCTGATAACTCGGACTGAATAAGGAAATGATTAGCTTAAATTTAAACACGGTTCCCAGAAGAGTTATAGTTAATTTTGAAGTTACTTCAATAATGAATTATGTATACGATGAGTAACAGAGTTACTGACCACTACCACAAATGGACCGCGGTTTCCCGAATATGTAATCTCGGTGCCGGCCCTTTAATCATGCAACTAATTCCTTGAGGATTAAACTTCTGCAACCTTTCAACGATCTGTGTATACATATAATAATGCACAGAATGTCGACGAGAGAAGTAATCTACTCTGGCTGTCCTCATTTGATTATAAAATTCTATCTTGAGAGAATGTTTTAAAAATTAGAATTTTCACTGTTATTCTTAATTAAGAAATTCAATATTTCGTTTTCGTTTTGTATCTGTTTTTAATACTTCGCTTTATTTTACGTTAATACGATTCAATCATTTACTCTGATTCTTTATAATAATTTTTAAATGAAATAATCCAATTGTAATTGTATTGATCTTCCCATCTAGTTCATTAAAGCACATCTGCACTTTAAAGAGAGAAAGACACAGTAGATAAAGTGATTAAAATTGCCAATAAAAACCGAAACTGGATTCTAATGTATTGATATACTTATTTGTTAGAGAGAATGACGAACGCGTCTGACACACAAATAACAACTGAGTAGTGACTAACCGAGCACAAAGAGTTTCCCGAATGAGACGTGCGACGGTAATGGATAAACGTTCAAGGAACCCAAGTTGTGTTCGACTCCCGCAACGATCCGATTAGAGTTTTCTCTCTACTTGACTTAGCTGTTTCCTTGTGCGGGTCGGTCGGCCAGCCTCAAGATCTCGTTATCTCACAGTGTCAGCGTGATGAATAGAATACACACGAACCGTATGCCAATGTCCAGCAGCCATGGGGACACAGAAGCGATGACGAGCTAAAAAAGAGGGGGATCGCGAGAGCATAAAAGCACGAACGAAGAAAAGTATCGGTGCTTTTGTGGTGTTCACTCGTGGCCGCATCGTGTCCCAGCTGATAGACAGTAATATTGTGCGAGAGTGATACAAGACCCGAAACGCTTTTGCCTACGGGGACGTCATGGGGCATCCACCTCGACTCGCGGGGGCGACCCTCGCCTGCCTCTTACTACTGTTCGCGGTTACTGAATCGGCCGGTGAGTACTCATCCGACTATCTAAACCGCAGCCAGGCGGGAGAAAATTAGAGTTTTCCTATGTCCACCAGCTGTTCCTTCACTTAAAAGCTTGCTTTCTTTGCTCGGGTTTCAACATGATTTACAAGCTTTTAAAACAGCGGAAAGAAAAGATCGACGCGAAATTCGTAGAGATTAAACATCTTCAGTTTTGTAAAATCTGCAAACGAATAAATAGGAACTGATTCCGTCGCAAAAGTAGCCTTTCGCAAATCGAACGTTTGTAAAATGATCAGTGGCATGCTCATGTTTGCAAAAGTTTTTAAAACTCCTCCGTCAGAGGAAAAATTCCATCGCGATTCCCCTGGACGAGAAAATTAAGAAAATAAATAAGGAACTATCGTTAAAACTGGAACACTTTAATCGAAGTTGGTATATTTGTTTTCTCAGGATATTTATTTAATAAGGGTAGAAGCATTTTTAAATGACTTCGTATATTTTGCGACGGAATCCAGTTGGGTGGATTTAATAGAAAGAGAAGTACTCACGTTTATTTAGGGAAAATGTTGCGTACCACGTTGTACCCAAGTTATGGAATCGTGCAATATTAATAATTTATGAGCCGGAGACGAATTTCGCGGAATTGGATGAGATATCAAACTTTTGAATATATACATATTCCATATTTCGCCGGTTCTTACATTCGAAATGATCAAATTGGGAAATAGTGAAGCCGACAATATTCTAAGATATTTGTTGACCCAATAATCCGTCGAAAATATATTAAACATATTTTCTCTTCGCTATATGGGACGAAAATGGAATTGTGTGATTCGTGAAAAGTTTTGCAATCGTTATCTGAATAGAAATTATGTTATCTGGATACAAATATTAACAATATTTGCCCAGTTTGTACCATTTCCGCTGACAAGCGTAACAGGCAAAGGAGTGTAATAGAATTTTGAACGATGTCCTTGTTTTCGCAAGAACTCCCTAAATGCATTAACCGAAGGTTTCCTCTCTATTAAACGAACTTATGTTTCATACTTATAAAATGGTTTCGAGTTTGCTTTACAAATTGCATGCTACGTAATGTTTCCTACTTCAATCTAAATTTCTTTACTTTCAACTTCGCTTTCAGAATGTTGAATTTTTCGAAAGAGAAAATACGTCGTTTCAGCTTGCCAGAATATTTTCTAACAATACGATTTTATCCATGTCATCGTGAGAACGATTTTACCTTAGATTCTATAGTTGTCGGTGGGTACAAAAGTTTTTTTAAGGGCCCGATAAACAACAACTCCGTGTCCCATTACGACCCATCAATTTTTTAACCCGCCATACGCCGGGTCTCCCCGTCGCCAGTACACACAAATTTAAGGCTCGTTACACGATCACAAAACTTTTTACGTGCCGCAGAACGGAACTTGGGCGTAGAGGAGATTCGAAAGTGGCGACGGAAAATATTTTTAACGGTGCTGATAAATTCGATTTTCACGGTGCGACACATCGACACAATGGGGCGAGAAGCACCCCTACGCGGCAACGGAATTCCGTTGGAAGTTTGTTCACCGTATCCCAGCCGCCTCTAGAATGCATAGAACTACCCCTTTGCAGTCTCTCGGGGCTTTGCGCGCCCGGACCGGGTAAATAAGTTCCGCCCTCGCGGATAGATACATATCTCAGAAAAGTTTGCGCTGTGCATCGGGGCCAGGTATAGTCGCCGGAAGAATACTACCGCGGTTGCACGATAGTATGGTAACTAGAATGGATAGGAGGAAGCAGTGAAATCTGTAGGGCTTGATAAAATATTTGTGCCGGTCGGTGAAGCTGGAACTTTGACAGATTCGCATCTTCTATGTTGTCGCCACGAAATTTTGTTGCACGCAGGACGTGCATGTACAGAAACTCTTAAAAATTGGATGAACGATAAGATAGAAAATGATAAGACAGAAATAATATACGAAAATGATAAAGAAATACATCTTCCACTGTCATTCAATTTTCTTCGATATGCAAAGAAGCTATACTTTTTTACATGACCATCTATCTAATCTGTCAAATCTCCAGCGAGCACAACAGAGATATTTTATGTTAAAGAGATCGTAATGTACGAATTAAATTATCATGAACAAATTAAAGTGAATTTCACGATCAGTAAATAACGATAGAAGGGATCAACGAGTTTCGAAGCTCAGCTCCCGTGTCACAGGGGTTATTCGCCGTGTCAAGGATAAAGAGATTAAAACTCGACAGACGGATGTCGAAATCCCAGATTAATTATTATGAACGATAGGATTCGTAGAGATTACTGTTTACGGTTATTGAGAAACTTCGATTCTGGTTCGGAATCTGTTCACGTTTTGCACCGACGTGCTGATATCCCTTCTGTCATTGTATAATCTCGCCTAAGTTTTTTAACAGAACGTTTTATAGTTTACAGTTTGCTATCATTTAAATTTTAAAATATATTTTTTATCTGTCCTGTCAGTTAGATGATGTTATTTGTTCAGTTAATGATTCTAAATTCGCTTCAATAATCGCTAATAATATCCATCTGTGTAGGCATCTTCATGTTTTGCTAACAACGTTGTTATTGAAACTCCACTCCATAACACAGAGGATTTTTCTCTAATTTTCTGTTAAGAATTTCTCTTACCAAGATAGTACATCGCTTCGCTTCATAGTATATCTGAGTTATTTTCTAATAATTACAAGTAGAATAATTGTATTATTAAAATCAATTTTGGAGCAGTTCATGTAATGCAAACACAGATAGTCTGCGCGACGTAATAGCAATTTCCAAAGCAACACAGATAGCGGAGTTCGATTCATAACGATTATCTTTGACCCTCGTAAACTCACTATTTTTTCCCCCCTTTTGCGAACAGTTTCAGTCGGTTGAGAGCACGTGAACTTTGAGACCACACACTTAATCGACGATTCTTTAATGAAAATTCAACAAGAATACGAAATAACAAAAGATATTAACGATTAAATTTATTTTCGCAAATTTACTCTTCCTTAAATTAATCTTCCCCTATTAATTAAATAAATTCTCTTCAATTTATCGTCAACGTTCATCTAAGTTTTTTATGAGACTCTAAGGCTGATAGTTTTCCATTGAATTATTGTACGCTATTTCTGATGGAACGCTTTCCTCTGCCTGCCTTTCAGCATTTTTTTCTCTACAGCCGTAACGTTTTTCCTTATCTACAGCAGAACTTATCCGTGACATTTAACTTATTATTATACCCTTGCCTGTACGGAGCGCACAGTGTGCGTTTCTTGACAATCATTAGAGACGATGCATCAGGGAGAAAGGTCTTTTATCGTGTTTCGCTGTACGGCGACCGACATCAGTGTTGCGTGCCTGCTATCTTCGCCCCTGTTGATCGTAAAATACTGTATAAACCACTTCACTTATCAGGCAGTAATATCGAGAATGAAATTCATAATTTACGACCGCGGAGACGCTCGGCCACTGAATAACAACTAATTCATTTGTTGAAATTAACGTTTCCCGTAGCGATTAATGACAGTGAAATCAATCGACCTCCATCCTCGCAGCTTTTTATAATTCATGAATACATATTTTGCATTGCTGTACCATTGAAATACAGAACACTTGTTTCTGCGAATTGCCTGCATTTCTTATAAGAAGTTTTCATTCGCAGGAAAAATCTTTTCTAAAAGAAACAGGAATAAGATTGATATTCTCATGTCTTGCACTCTTTTAAGGTGTTTTTAAAAGAGAAGAGAGAAATGCCTCGTCTATTTTCGACTGAATTTTTCAAAGTTCCATCTCGGAAATGGAATGCTACGGATAGATATACGTAGGTCGAGTCTCTGAGGAATTCGTACAAACCTGGTTCATTTTCGATCAATGCCAAAAGTTTCAAAAAGGAGGAATCAATGTAATTCTCGAAATATTAAAATTCATTAAAAAATCATTTTTCTGTATTTCTTGGGGTAAATGATTTTTTTATAAAAATGATTTACTTAGGATACTTAGGACTAATGAAGAAAGTCGATGATCCTGTTTTAGTATCCGTTCAAATTGTAGTGAAATTAGAGACATATTTTCATAGAACATCTTTAACGAACGTGCTGTTTATAATAAAAACAAGAATTTTAATTGTCGCCGTTGCGACTGTTTACGAAACCTCGTTCCTGTTCCGTGGGACGCGGAACAACAATATCAATGATGTAGAGCTTCCTCCACTTTACACGTTACGGTCCCATTGTCGACGAAGTTAGATGGGACGATGATGGACAATGATTAGGCCCGCGAGTTCTTTGAATCATCATCAATGGCAGGCCGTCGTTATTGTTGTCCCGCTTCCGCGAGCCCGAACCGGACAATGTTTAAAGTTCATTACGCGCCCGGTTTAAAACAATAGTACCATGTGCACACACACACACACAGCGGGAAAACATCTTCAAACTAGTATTCTCTTTAAACAATGAACGCAAACACAAATATAAACAGTAAAATACGAAGGATTTTGTTGAGAAATAAAAACAGGACAATATTTTTTCCTCTCTGTTTCATTATTATATATTAAATTACAGTAAACTACATTTACTTCGTTTATAGTGTCGATCAATTTCATAATGCATGATTAAATAAAAAAATATTTAAAAGGACGATCAAGCTTTTCTATATTATTAATTAAAATGCCTGATTTATAATTTGAAGTTCAGGTTTATTATAAGGAAGGCGTTTCTCTTTAGAGATTTGGCTAGGGGATAGTGGAAATTAGCAGTGGCCCGAATTTCCCAGAAAGAAAGCTAAAATCGGTTGGCCGTGAAGGCACACTCGGCAATTTCGCCTTAATCAGAATTTCATTTTCCTCCAAGGTGTAATCGTGGAAAATTAGAAAGGTCAACTTCCGAGTATGCTGTGCTCTCGGACAAAGTGAACGCTACGCAGGGCCGGTTGTAACGGAGAGCTGTTAATAACGCGTGTCATGATTAGCCCCATTGAGATTTTCTCTTCTACGTATGCTCGCCGGTCCCAACTGATTCATCAGACTCAACGGGAAACCATGAAAAAGCAGTTTCTTCCCGGTTAAGGACAGTAGTAGGCGTCTATGGTTTAGCAAACAGTATTGTTGATAGATACGTGACGTACGCGCGGAAACTTCGTTGCATTTTATTTCCAGGAGAGAGTTCAAGGAAATATTCGCCTACGTTCGTTTCCGTTCGATTATCGCCCTTGCCGCGTGGCCTCGCTTGAAAAATTAAACAAGTCTCTTAAATGCGATTAGCTCGCGCTAAATAACTTACTAAATAAGAGCTTCGAGTCGCCGTTTGTTCCAAGAAGTACAGTTCGAAGGATTTAAATCTGTCGTCCTTAATGTTGATTAATTATTTTATAAAAGATCGTCTTTTAGACCAAGTACCCAATTTGTATTCTTCTTTAAGAAATATCATAATAAATGATTGATGCTTTCTTTTTTCATTAGTGATAGAAGCATTTGATATTTAATTATTAACGCGGGGCTTGGATTTTTAGGGGGAATTGTGATATAGTACACAAGAGACAAGGGACCACGCAAACGAAGGAATAAAAAGCACTTACGCGTAGACCGTGACTCCCTTAGCCTCAAAATAGTTCTTCTACAAGAAGCATTGATCGTCTTACATATTGCAGGCCTTCACTAAAGCGATTAATCAAAACAATGGAACTTGCACAATAGTAGAATTGTTTAAGTCGTTGTTCTCGACGGAACATTTTTATTTTCTGAAAAGCTCTCGGCATGTACGCTTCCAAGCGGGAAATCTATCATTGGATGACAGAAACTGGAGTGGATCCCGTTGAAAACCCGTCTCGAGTGACTCGATGCGGTGCAAATGAATTTTCGTCGCGACTAGATGACTGCAGGCAGACGACCTGTTATAACTGTCGGCGATAAGCGGATGCGCAGCCGTGTAGTTTTCCACGCGGTGAACACGCGAAAGCTCGCTTGAAACGATGCGATGTATCACGGAGAATTATAAGTGGCGTAAATTACAGCCGAACCTCGGCGCACTCCGCTCGGGCTTAGCCTCACAATCTGACCCAACTTTCGTTTTAAACGACTATAATTCCGGTAATGAAGACACATTGCGCTGAATAGCTAATCGATAAAGAGACCAGCCTAATGCTATCGTTGCACAAACCTCCCTCGCTCAGTGTTGCATTTCATTCACAACTTCTTGAAGTTTTCATACTTCGGAATTAACTTTCATCTATATTTTTTTGTTTTGAATAATCTTCAAATATTAATATCTAATCATTTAATAACACGGTTTCAAATTTTGTACTTTAAAAATTATAAGAAACAAAATAATACGAACTTGAAAAAATGGTAGACGATTTAAACAACTATACAAATAAATAAATTCTATTAAATTAAAATATAACTTAAATACTAAAACTCAAGAGTATTCTTATTTTGTAATTGCGAATGAAATATCATAATCAATGCTACTTAGATATTCGTAGATGAAACATAGAATAACGATCAATGATAATTGTTTCACCGATATAATACTGAAGATACCTAAAATCGTCTGAACTTAATGCACACATGTATGTACATAATATTAGTATATGTACATAACTTGCGGTACATAAGCGGCTGGAACGAGGTCTATATCATTGAAACGATTACAGGTCCCCCATGTTCAACCGGACATTTGGTAAATTGATCTGATCTGAACGTCCCTACTTCCCAATAAAACAGACAAGATATACGGTCGGTTGCGTCGTCATATACACCCCCGTTGAAAAAAAATCTTTGATCAGTCATTGCATTTGCTCCCAATAAAATTGGGTAACTGCTTCGTTTCGTGCTTGATATTACAAACAACGTTGGTACAGTAGCAGTTTCAGTAAAAACGATTTCAGATTTGTGTATATAGAATATTACAGAATTTTCAGTCAGTCATAGATATGATTAGACGATAAGGAATAAGTAGAAGACAATTTTAAATCGATGATCGTAATTGGAAATTACAAATTTAAACGTGTTTAAGCTCGGTAATTCGTTTTTATTCATTCAGGGGCCCAAAGAAATATTGTACCGTGCTGTTCTCCCGATTCCATAAGCTGCAAGATTTCTACCATCATCCTCCGCGTTGCGAACATTCAATATTCTTGAGTCTTATCCTGAAAGCTCTCGCCTGCAAGGCTCTTATCTCGAGGAAATTTCATCTGGATGCCTTATTGTATTGAGTCATCCGATCAGCGCGCGGCGCTTCCGGCGCGGAGCGAAACACGACACGAAAACGGGAATGGCTCGGCATCGCGTGGCGATCACACCAAGAATTTCCAAGGGACTGAAATTTCAAGCACTGGAGAGTGCCCGCGCGTGACACTTGCAATTTTCATGCGCGACCCCGCGGCGATTACGCGACGCCGAGCGAATCTCTGATAATCGGATGATGGAAGAGCAATTGCAGGGAGAGAGAGAGCGAGAAATTGCGATTGCGGTCGCTCGATTAATTTGCCGCCCCATTCGCGTAGTCCTTTAAGCCTGCTGCACGTTGGAAACCCTTGCGGAAGTCAGTGCCACCGTTAAAAAGAAAAGCTTCGTTTCAAGATCGTGTCCCGATTCGACGAGAAAAAATTGCTTATTCTCCGTTGGTCACTAAATTGATAACACCGTAATTGAACAACGCGTTAAGAAAAAGATATCCAGACATTTATTTTTATGTTACTTCTATTACGTCAATTAGTAATTGCACAAATAATGCATTTGTATAAATAAAGTATAATCAATGCTACTTAGATATTCGTAGATGAAACATAGAATAACGATCAATGATAATTGTTTCACCGATATAATACTGAAGATACCTAAAATCGTCTGAACTTAATGCACACATGTATGTACATAATATTAGTATATGTACATAACTTGCGGTACATAAGCGGCTGGAACGAGGTCTATATCATTGAAACGATTACAGGTCCCCCATGTTCAACCGGACATTTGGTAAATTGATCTGATCTGAACGTCCCTACTTCCCAATAAAACAGACAAGATATACGGTCGGTTGCGTCGTCATATACACCCCCGTTGAAAAAAAATCTTTGATCAGTCATTGCATTTGCTCCCAATAAAATTGGGTAACTGCTTCGTTTCGTGCTTGATATTACAAACAACGTTGGTACAGTAGCAGTTTCAGTAAAAACGATTTCAGATTTGTGTATATAGAATATTACAGAATTTTCAGTCAGTCATAGATATGATTAGACGATAAGGAATAAGTAGAAGACAATTTTAAATCGATGATCGTAATTGGAAATTACAAATTTAAACGTGTTTAAGCTCGGTAATTCGTTTTTATTCATTCAGGGGCCCAAAGAAATATTGTACCGTGCTGTTCTCCCGATTCCATAAGCTGCAAGATTTCTACCATCATCCTCCGCGTTGCGAACATTCAATATTCTTGAGTCTTATCCTGAAAGCTCTCGCCTGCAAGGCTCTTATCTCGAGGAAATTTCATCTGGATGCCTTATTGTATTGAGTCATCCGATCAGCGCGCGGCGCTTCCGGCGCGGAGCGAAACACGACACGAAAACGGGAATGGCTCGGCATCGCGTGGCGATCACACCAAGAATTTCCAAGGGACTGAAATTTCAAGCACTGGAGAGTGCCCGCGCGTGACACTTGCAATTTTCATGCGCGACCCCGCGGCGATTACGCGACGCCGAGCGAATCTCTGATAATCGGATGATGGAAGAGCAATTGCAGGGAGAGAGAGAGCGAGAAATTGCGATTGCGGTCGCTCGATTAATTTGCCGCCCCATTCGCGTAGTCCTTTAAGCCTGCTGCACGTTGGAAACCCTTGCGGAAGTCAGTGCCACCGTTAAAAAGAAAAGCTTCGTTTCAAGATCGTGTCCCGATTCGACGAGAAAAAATTGCTTATTCTCCGTTGGTCACTAAATTGATAACACCGTAATTGAACAACGCGTTAAGAAAAAGATATCCAGACATTTATTTTTATGTTACTTCTATTACGTCAATTAGTAATTGCACAAATAATGCATTTGTATAAATAAAGAAAAACTTGGAATTACAAATATCAGAACTCATTAATTCAGGAATTATTAATATAGGAAACAAGAATTCGAAATACAATTAAATTTTGCATTCACCGTCAGGAGATTCTTTCATAAAACATGTTAAATGTCTGCTGTTTGAAGTTTGATCATTTACAGTACTTCTAAGTAAATTATTAAAGTCCTCGAGGGATCAAGTGTTCGTTGAAAATACTTTAATGATATGGGAACGAAAAAGGAACGTAGGAAATATTATGAAACAATGAAAGATTCATTCTCCCCTCGACGCTGTCGTGCAGTATCGGTAAATAATAATGGTTTAAACAACCACGCACGTCAGGCAAAACAAGAATCACTTACTCGAGGGGGAGTATACTTAATCAATTTTTACAGAGTGTTAAACTTTTTGCTGAAATTCATTCTGGAGGGTGATTTTTAAATGAATCAGTAAAGTTCATTCTACCTATTTAACTCTAATAATATACAGAACTACAAATCATTTCCATCTGTCTATACCTCAAAAGTAGATTCTTATCAGAAACTGTGTCTTGATTGATATCATATAATACAGAAATACTCTACTCATAGTTATAACTCTTTTTATAACTTGCAAAGAGACAAAGAGCTTTTGCTTTCTAATACACAATATAAAGGAATTAGTTAACAATTCGGGTAAAAGAAAAGAAAATGCTAGGACAATGATTATACGGACTGAAGTATCTGATTGGGGAATAGGATTGAACGACACCGAGGATCGGTATTAATTCCAATCTTCTCTGACCGTCGCGACGCGGCGGACTCTATTCTAGCTAAATCCAATCTGGATCCGGTAAAAGGGAAAAATGGCGTGGCACTACGTGACAGGAAACGTTCAGAAGACCGGAGGAACTCTTTATCGTAATTTATCATGACCTTTCTTACAAAAGAGTGCCGACGTTGCGTTATTTACCTCATGGGAGCAGTACCAGCATGTACCATTCCAAAATAATACCAGCGTCTTCTGAAATTGCACATAATGTAGAGAAAAGAGGAAATATTATAACGAACTACATGTCGTTCGCGTTCAATTTTGTAGTACAATTTTATTAAGTATACACGGGATAAATTGAAAATTATTATTTTAAATGATTGGTTTATCCATTTTATCATTTCGTGTACGTTAGAGATTTGTCATGAGACGTACATTTTAAAATCCGAGTGATATTATAATTAATGATAAATTATTTGAGATGGAAATTTTTAATGAACTCGTCATCAAATGTATAAGTTTTAATGAATTAATTATTCTGGGAATTCTGTTTTATTGAAATAATATAAAAATATAATTTTGTTAGGAAGATTGTTTTTCCACGAATGCCTTTTTTCATTAAAAATTGAAAATCGCACGAGTTGCAATTGCTAAAGTAGCTATCTTCCCGTTCCAGCATCCAGCTGGTCGACTAAAAATAAGCGTTTCAAGATCGGGGGTCAGCCGAGTCAGCGATTATCGCGTTATCGGCGTGACCTTACTATGAGGTTCAACCTCCCTGCATAAATACGTCTCGTTTTCTTCGCTCCCCGTGGTATCTCAATCGGAGCGCAAAAATGTTATCGATTGTAAAATGAAGTCAATAAGATTTTTTATCTTGGTCATTTGACGGGCGCGTATCGATGCACCACAAGGGATCGGGTGTTATCGGTCGCGTAGTCTTTATCGCGACCTTCACCAACCTCGGAAACTTCACTGTTCAATAATTACAAAAATGATTAGACGAGAAAATGTTTATCTCAGACGTTTCTAACTATCGTTCATACGGAATGAAGCAAACAGAAACAATCTGTACGAACTGTAGCTGATTAATTATGGTACTTTCCATTATGTAAAGCTGGAAGGAATCAGAGTGGTGAGTACGGTGATAATAAAAAAATTTAATGAATTCTGTTAAGCCAGTTTTTTAAATATTAAGTTCAAGTGTTCAACCTCGCTAAGGTAGATGCTCAGGAGATTGCTTAACCGTGAGAAAGCAAAAAAATGGTTGAGATAAAGAGAACAAAATGAAATGAAGGCTGCACGATAAAAGAAACAAGAGTTATTAAAAGTTCTTACGCAAATGAAGCCGGCGTAAGCCTGTTAAGCGTGCATTTTCCTATGACGTTATCAACTCTCCTACATTATTATCCCGTGCAAATCTACATGCTGGATAAAGAACAGGATAAAAGTAGCTCGACGACGGTAGCTTCTTCAGCGTGAAAACTTTTCATAAAACCCTTCGCCATGCATATTTTCCGCCCCGTTTATCCTCCTATCTACCGCTCGCATCACCGTACTCTAATAAGTACTCTTACCCGGGGAGGGAAAAAAAAAAAGAATTTCGTTTAATTTATTTACGACATAATCGTCTCATCTACTTCCTGGAACGTGTCGACGAAACGTTACTACAGGTTTCTGCCGTTCCATCAAGTACCCGCCGCGCGACGCTATCAGATATTGACTCGACGACGCTATCTCATCTCCAGTTTGCAAACCGAGTTACCGAGATGAAATTCGAAATTTCACGCACGACGCCGGTGATCCAACGATAAGCCGCGTTCTCGGCCGGAATTTCGATCGAGCGAGCATCTTCGCACGAAAGATGAAGCTGGTTCTTGCGTTTCTTTTTCTTCTGTAGTCGATTTATCAGAATGGACTCGAGACGAGCCGGGATTTCGGTCACGCGCCAAAAACCTTTAAACGACGCGAAAGTTTCATCGCGTGCCGTCCATCCCGTAGGAACGAAAGAACGGCCCTCGAGGGAGTCTAGAAACTCCGTGGCCAGACCGAGGCTACTAGGCCCACGATTAAACGGTAGAGACGGATTAATTTCGATGAAACTGTCGGCGAACGACGACGCGACGCGACGGGTAGAACGGGTATTCGTTTCATTGTCTTCGTTATTATATTGCCGTCGATTACGATATGATTAGCATGGGGTTATTATGTTGTTGCCTCGCCTGATTGGCGTCGTTCCCGTTGGTTATTATGCTGTTACACACGTTATTACAATACGTCGGGCCCTGGACCGGTGTTTATGCGGCGACATCGAAACAAATCTCGATGGGGCCGACTGTATTGACCCCATTAATAAAGAAATTCAAGTGGATCTAAAGACCGGGCCCGATTTCATTCAACGCTGAACCCCATTCACCCTATAATCTCATTACCGAAATTGGCCGACGTCGTCCACAGATGAAATAAATTACGACAATTAAGTTAATTAACACCAATAATGGGAACGCTCGGACGACTGTCTCTGCGAAGTCTTTTGTTGTTATTACAATTCAAATTATTTGATCGATGATCAAAGATTTTGAATTCCTAATTTAAAATATTTCTTTAATCAAACACTGTCAAACTACCCTAATGTGCCGAACTCCTCGTCTCAAAAGCGATAACGTATTAGATAATGACAGAAAAGTGTATGTGAGATGCCTCGCCTCTCACAAGCTAGAAAATATCGATATAGGTCAGAAATGACTCCGGGTTATGAATTTCGTCATTTATCATAAAAATGATAGCTTAATTAACAAAGATGGGTTTGCATTGTAACACAATGTCTTCTTCTTTATGTTTCAGTGAAATGCTCAATTGGCTGCCGTGGAAGTAAGTCAAGTTGAATTTGATAAATCATTAATGATATTCATAACAGAGCAATGATTTTAATCATGTGGTTTTCTCTCTATTTTGATTAGTGCAACCAAACAAAGCGTATCACGAAGGGAAAACGTATGTGTACAGTTTGGACGGTTTGTCGGTGACGTCGGTCACCGACGCGAAGGAAGAAGCATCCCTTAAACTGGCAGCCACCGTAGAAATGGCCGTGAAACCGGACTGCGTCCATCAGCTATGGTTGAAGGACGTACAGATTAATGGCGCGGTAACTGTCCAATTATACTTCCTAATTTTTAGAACCAGATAATAAAACTCATGCTCTACGGTATTTCAATCAAAGTCAAATACAGCTTCCGAAAGAGAAAGTAAAAGACATTTGAACTGATTTTAATTTGTTGAAGATATTTAACTTGGATTAATGGAAGAGTTGATTGTCGGAAGTGTATTTTTAGAAATTATATAAAATAAATAGCACGTACTTGAGTATGCTGATGAAAAAACATGTGTTTCAGGCACCATCGTTGCCGGACATCGAGAAGTACACAGTCCAATTCAATTACCACGATGGTCACATCGACACGGAGCTCTGCACGCAACCGGGTGACTCCCAAGCGTCTCTTAACATCAAAAGAGCAGTTGTCTCCATGTTCCAATCGGCTATCATGCGGGAGAGCGGTTTTACGACACACCACGAGGTTCGTTTCCTGAAGTAATTCGTTTAAATAAATTCAAGTCATAAATCGCTACTTCATTAGTAACTCGATGACAGACTTCGGTTCTAAACATGCTTCTCAGAATTCCTAATTTATCAAATCACGTATGTCCTTTTCCAATTCGACACAAAAAAATTCCAAATCACTAATGCAAACAGTAATATATAAATTGAATATGTTCTCCATTCTCCTGTCATTATGACGAAGTATTCACTGAAGAATGTTCAAGATGAACAATGAATATCATTGAAAATTTTCATTCCAGATCGACGTGATGGGATCTTGCCCGACGGAGTTCAACTTCCGCAAGGAAGGTGAATCTGTGATCGTAAACAAGAACAGGAATCTGGAGCAGTGCGCGTTCCGCGAGAACGTGAACCAGGGTCTGATCTCCGGTAACATGGACACGGTAGCTGGGCTCAAGTCTTCACCGCTTCTCGCTTCCCACCAGGAAATCGAGCAACGATTCAAAAACGGTGTCCTGAACAAGGCTGTCACCAAGGAAACATACAAACTGAGACCGTTCAGCAACGGTAACGCCGGTGCCAAGACCACCGTCGAGACCACTCTGACCCTGAAGGACGAGAAAGACGACAGCCCGCCAGGGGCCGTGTCCGTTCCGAAATCTTTGATCTTCGAAGCTCCGCACCCGGTGATGAAATCGTCTGCCAAAGCCCTGAGTAATGCGTTGAACGCCGCCAAGGACGAAGTAGCCAATGGCGTGAAGCCGGACGCGGCCGCCAAAGTCGCGGATTTGGTGAAAGTAATACGATTGAGCAACAAGAACGACATAATGTCTGTTTACCAAAAAGCTAAGGGCACGGATAAGAAACTACTGTTGGACGCCCTGTTCCGCGCAGGAACCGGCGAGGCAACGGAAGTCGGAGTGGAGTTAATCAAGAAGAAGGAACTCACCGGTGTCTCGGCTCTGATGTTCTACGCGAGCTTGCCGTTGGTGCGTCACGTGCATTTGCCCTCGGTGTCGGCCGTTACGTCGTTGCTGGACCAGCCCGACCTGCCTCGACTCGGTTACCTCGGAGTCGGCCAGGTGATCGGCAAATACTGTCAACAACATCCTTGCGAGAACGTGCCGGAAGTAAAGCAGGCGGTGCACAAGATCCGCGAGAAGGTCGGCAACGGCAAGGCCAAGACCAGGGAACAGGAGAACCTAATCATTTCCGCGTTGAAGGCTCTGGGCAACTCCCAGTTCCTCGACGACGCGACGCTGCAGAAACTCGCGAACATCGCAGCGGACAAGAACGTGAGGAACCGCGTACGAGTAGCCGCCACCGAAGCTCTGCCGAACAGGTGCTCGATGAAATGGAAGAACATCTTGTTCAAAATCTTGGGCGATCGAGAGGAAGACAGCGAAGTCAGGATTAAGAGTTACCTCGCACTGGTCGCGTGCCCGTGCCCGCACATTGCTAATCACTTGAAAGAGATTCTGGACAAGGAGACCGTCAATCAGGTCGGATCTTTCATCCAGAGCCACCTTAGGAATCTGAGAGCGTCGACGGACCCCGAAAAATTGGAAGCCAAGAATCAGCTTGGACTTCTCAAACCGCGAACCAAATTCCCCGAGGATTTCCGAAAATTCTCCTTCAACAACGAATTGTCGTATAAAATAGACGCGTTCGGTGTCGGTTCCACCCTTGAAAGCAACGTGATCTACAGTCAGGACAGCTTTGTGCCGCGTTCTACGAACCTTAACATGACCGTCGAGCTGTTCGGGCGCAACTTCAACCTCATGGAATTGAACACTCGCGTGGAGAATTTAGACAAGGTGATCGAGCACTACTTCGGACCTAAAGGGAAGGTTTGGGAGAAGGATTATAAGGATTTGAAAGAGAGCAACACGGGTAAAAAGATCAGCAAGTACATCAAGGAAAAATACGATAAAACTGTGCGAAGTAAACGAGAAGTGAAACAGGCGGACTTGGACAATTTCGCGAAGAACGTGCATCTGAGGAGTAACGAAGTCGACGATGATCTAGACGTTGACCTCTCGGTGAAGATGTTCGGCGTTGAACTCGCTTACCTGAGCTACCAAGGTGACATCAGTAAAGTGGACCCGGAAGTGATCATCGAGGAGCTGTTCGAGAAACTCGACAAAGGATTCGATATAGCCAAGAACTTGAACTACGAGTTCGAGAACTATCTTCAGTTCCTCGACGCCGAGTTGGTGTATCCGACTGGTCTGGGAAGCGCTTTGAACCTCGGAATCATTGGGACGAGCGCGCTTCGCCTGAAAACCGATGGCTCAGTCGACATATCGACTATGTTGGACGACCCAGAAAATGCCAAGTTCCGAATCGCGATGGAACCAAGCGTGTCCATCCAGATAGCTGGAAACATGGTGGTGCAAGCGCCTGGAGTTGAATCCGGTATGAAAATCGTCGGCACTCTTCACACAGCCACGAGCACGGACTTGTCTGTGTCAATTTTGAACGGCAAGGGTATCGACGTCAACCTGGGAATTCCCAAAAAGAAGCAAGAACTCATCAGCATCAGCAGCGAAGTTTTACTCACTACTGGTTCTGGGGATAAATACGTGGCTCCTAAATTCGGCAAAGGAAAGGATCATTCCGACTGCTTCGACCAATTATCCACCGTCCTCGGTCTGACCGTTTGCGGAGAGATCATGTTGCCCTACGACGATTTATACAACGTGCAACAGAAACCGTTGTTCCCGTTGAGCGGACCAGCCAAATTCGCTGTCAACCTGCAGAGCAACGACGTCACTAAGTATCACTTCAAAATCTTGCTCGATACTGAAAGTCACAATAAACGTTCCTTCGAGATTCTATTGGAAACGATAAGCAGAAAGTCCAATAAGCAGATATCGTTCCTTTTGGAGACTGGCCTCGAGCCCGACATATACGCCAAAATGATCCTGGACTCGCCCATCAAAAAATTATCCGCAATGGCTGTACTTAAAAATACTGTGCCAGAACGTACTCTGACGTTGACCGTCTCCCACGATCAAATGGAATATTACGGTCGTATCGGAGTGCTGGCGAATGGAAACAAATACAAGCCAGTACTGGAGTACAAATTACCGGAACATATCGCGAATTTGGCTAGCGCAAAGACTGGAATGAAACCGGGACAACAGTACAACGTGCAAGGTACCATAGACGTGAGCGATGGTGGTCACAAATACGTGATGGACAAGGTAGCTCTGACCGCTAATGGACAAGAACTTGTCATCATCGACGGTTCTGTTATATGGAGTCCCAGTTCCTTGAAAGTAGACACGAAGCTAGGCTACGGCGATAAGAACCTGGCTCTGAAAGTTGACGGAAAGAAGGTAGTCGCTGATCATTACAAGTTGTCCGTCTCCTGCGTGCCATCCGCCGATCCTAACATCGCGTTCAATTTGCAATGGGAATACAAGAAGGGACCGCAGGATCTGGATCACAAACTGATCTTCGTCCACGGGCCCGATCAGAAATCCGAAACCAACCGTTTATCGTTAATACAGAAAGCTGCGTATAAAATGAACAACCCGAAGGATCTTCAATTGTCCACGAGCAACGAATTAACTTACAAAGCGTTGAACTTGAAATTGAAACTCGACGGAGAGCTTACTCGCAAGTCGATCAGCACCGATATCGAGGCGAAGTACCTGGACTTCAATTTTGGAACTGAGCTCTCCGCCAAAATAGACACGAAGAAACCCGGTGACTACGATGTAGAATTGGAGGTCGAGGTGATGGACAAGGGTTTCGAACTGAAATCGAAACGTTCTATCGTAGAGCCGCAGAAATGCAAATTCTCGAATTCGTTGAAATTAAAATCGGGCGAGAAATACGAGGCCGATGCGATAGTAGTTTACGATGTTAGCAAGACTAATTTAAATGTCCAGCTAGACGGAGACGCTAATCTGAACGGATGTAAAGTAAAACTCGAAACCGTCCTCGAAGCTAATTCGCAGCTCGTCAACTCCCGAGCACTTCTTAAAGTAGACGGCACTAAGTACATAGACTTCCTGTTGAACGTCAAACCAACAGATAATCCAACTGGCAGCTTGTCGTTGAACTTGAAGAGTTTGATAACGGTCAACGGTCAGTTCTCCTATCAGAAGGGCAAGGGTGACGCGGCCCTGAACATCGACATTCCCAAGATCAACCGAAAGATCAAAGCCACTGGTACTTTGGCGGTTTCCGGCACCGAGCACGTAGGCAACGTGGAACTATTCTACGACGCCGAAAAGGATCCGAGCAAACGCATCAAACTGTCCACCATCTCTGACATCAAGAAGAACTCTATTGACAGCAAGAACACTCTAGAGTGTCTGAATTACAAGTTGGAATTGAACGGCAAAGGTAAACTGGAGGGAACCTTGACCAACGGTCAATTAGATTTAGACATCGATCTTACTTTGCCTAACAAACGGTACCTGGTGTACAAGCTGAAACGCAATTCCGTGAACAAGGATAGTAAATACGACATACAGGTGGCCAGCCAGTTGATCGACCACGAAAAGAAGGGTGGACCATCGAGGAAACTAGCCTACACGCTCGATGTTAAGGATCTTGATCCTCAGTTGTACACCTTCCAAGGAAAGGCCGAAGTGAAGTTGGTTAAGACCGATGGAAAGGACTTGACGCTGTCGTGGAGTGGCAAGAACCAGCCGAAGGGTAACAAGAAAATCAAGAATCTGAACATCGCGCTTGAAGGATCATGCATACCGAAGAAGTTCCAGCTTAAATTTGGCTTGACCCATGACGACAAAGACGGACAGTACACAGTCTCCTCATCCTTGGGCGATGATCTCTCATTAATGGTAAGAAATAAAAATATCTGATTTTTGAAAGATTTTTATGTTAATTGTCTAATATTATTCGTCGTCTTATAGAGCACTGGAGGTCTGGAGATGGGGAACGAAATCGACACACCTAACAAAGGAACCTTAGTCATAGAAGTGAAATTACCAATCGAGAAACTGAAGAACTTGAAACTGGAGGCTTCCACAAGTTATTTGGACTCAAGAGAGAAACCTGTGGTAGAAGACACTGAAACCTTGAAATTGACGTATAACACCGATAAAACGATCGAATTGGAGACATACCTGAAACTGTTATCACCCACCAAGACCGAGGTGCCCAACGAAGGCACTGGAAAGCTCAGTCTGAAGATTTTGGATCTTGCTCCTCTGAAACTTAGCGGCAATTACAAATGCGATTCTAGTCCTGAAAAGGCGACTCATCAGCTAAATCTGAACGGTAATTACGGAGAGAAAAAGATCAAGGTGGAGGCTAACTGCGAGGACCTTCCCAAAGTGATCACTGTCAACGTTAAAGCTAATGGCAACTACGACTCCAGACTGCCTGACGCCGATCTCAATCTCGTTTACAAGGTATTTTGTAACAAATATCTAAATAAAGTTTCTAACATTTATTTATTCGACAAAAGAAGCATTAGAAAAATATTTTGGCTGATTAGGTTTCGATGAAGTTAATAAAATTTATCAACGATCAAAGTTTAAAAAAATCGGTATTTTCCTTAATAATCATTATTTCTTGTTTAATTTCCAATTTTCTTTTACTTATGCAGAGATTCAAGGATGAGAATAAAATGACACTTAACTGCGAATCCAATGTCGAAGCTCAAAAGTTCACTTTGAACGGTGAGATCCAGCACCAGGATACCAACAACTTGTTCCACGTGACATACACTTGTCCAATGGGAAAGATCGAAATTCTCTCCAAGATACAAAAACTCGGTGACAAGGAATTCAAAGGTAAATTAATCAACAATATATAAAATTGATATGAACAATTTTCTTACACTCTTATTATCATTCTAATTATTATTATTATTATGTTAAATTATAGGCGAATGGAAAGTGGACACTCCCAAAGGTTTCGCGGTAGCCGATGCGCATGTAGACATTGAAAGCATCGACAATTTCATAATTAATGTCAACTTCGATAGCGATAAGATACAACATCGTAAGATCCACGCCGAGATCGCGAATAAACCCACAGCAAAAGCCGGAAAGAGAGTCCTAGTCACTGTCACTAGTGATGGTCAAAACATTGTAACCGGAAGGTATTACTATTTAATTAATTATAAGTTAACTGAGTTGCGTTTTTTAGAAAGGAACCAGTCCACAAAAGTTTGAAATTTAGAATATGTCCATCAACAGATGCATACTCATTATTTATAAAAATAATGTGATTATTCTACCTCCTTCTATGTCACATATAAAATTGGCGTAACGATCTAAATATTGAGAGACTAGCGAAAAATGCAGTTCGGACCGTAATTGTAGGGCAGACAATTAGTAGACAGAAGTACAATTCAGAGCAATTAAACTTGAGTATCCTTTTTCTTAGTTTCGCGACTAAGTGGACTGGTTCCATCTTCAAGAAGTCGGTTCAATCGTCGGCTAGGTAAACTGCAATTAAAAACAAAAGCAACCTCGATTATTTCTGTAATGCTCTGATCGTTTCGAGATTAATATTGCACTGTGTATGCAGTACGAGCTACAAAAAACATGACGAGGACGGAAAGATCGTGGTCGAGGGTAACGGAAACTTGAAGATCGGCGACAACAGCAGGAGCTCCTCCTTCAAATACACTCGCCAACAATTGACGCAGGAGAAGGATGGCGAAATCGGTGTCGCGATGGTGTTGAATGCGAACTTCGGACCGTCGGCTATCGTAGGCGAACTGAAGCTCACTAATAAGGAAGTGCACGTGTTCAACAGCTACTGCGAGCATATTCTAATTATTATTATTATTATTATTATGTTAAATTATAGGCGAATGGAAAGTGGACACTCCCAAAGGTTTCGCGGTAGCCGATGCGCATGTAGACATTGAAAGCATCGACAATTTCATAATTAATGTCAACTTCGATAGCGATAAGATACAACATCGTAAGATCCACGCCGAGATCGCGAATAAACCCACAGCAAAAGCCGGAAAGAGAGTCCTAGTCACTGTCACTAGTGATGGTCAAAACATTGTAACCGGAAGGTATTACTATTTAATTAATTATAAGTTAACTGAGTTGCGTTTTTTAGAAAGGAACCAGTCCACAAAAGTTTGAAATTTAGAATATGTCCATCAACAGATGCATACTCATTATTTATAAAAATAATGTGATTATTCTACCTCCTTCTATGTCACATATAAAATTGGCGTAACGATCTAAATATTGAGAGACTAGCGAAAAATGCAGTTCGGACCGTAATTGTAGGGCAGACAATTAGTAGACAGAAGTACAATTCAGAGCAATTAAACTTGAGTATCCTTTTTCTTAGTTTCGCGACTAAGTGGACTGGTTCCATCTTCAAGAAGTCGGTTCAATCGTCGGCTAGGTAAACTGCAATTAAAAACAAAAGCAACCTCGATTATTTCTGTAATGCTCTGATCGTTTCGAGATTAATATTGCACTGTGTATGCAGTACGAGCTACAAAAAACATGACGAGGACGGAAAGATCGTGGTCGAGGGTAACGGAAACTTGAAGATCGGCGACAACAGCAGGAGCTCCTCCTTCAAATACACTCGCCAACAATTGACGCAGGAGAAGGATGGCGAAATCGGTGTCGCGATGGTGTTGAATGCGAACTTCGGACCGTCGGCTATCGTAGGCGAACTGAAGCTCACTAATAAGGAAGTGCACGTGTTCAACAGCTACTGCGAGCAAAGCAAAGACTGCGCTCAGTTCAAACTTCAATCAATCTTCAACGCTCAACGTAAGTATTAATCCATACATTCTACTAGAATTGATGTTAGTACACTTTCAGATTGAATAATGCGAGAACTTTTAGTAATCGTTCTATGCGTTTATTTGCAGCTACGCTGAGGCACCAAATAACGGTGGAAGTCGACCTGAAGAAGTTCAACGTGCCCGCCGAATTCGGGTTGAAGACCAACACCGAGCTGAAAAACCCGATATTCGATCATACCACGAATCTCTATCTTCACTCGTCGAAAGACAAATCTGAGTACACTTACCACGCATATATTAATCCTAAAGAATCAGGTAAATAACTTAAAAGAAAAAATCGAAACAATTTCCGTGTTTGTCTGGAATTAACATATTAAAATTGTTTTCTCATCAGCTTCAATCTTGACTTTGCCTTCTCGTGAAATTGCCGTCATCCTGACGTACGATCTGCCTAAGAGTAAACAAACCGCATCGTACAAACTGGATTTGTCCCTGTATTTAGACAGGAAGAATAAGCCATCCGACAAGACCAGTCTATCTGCCAACGGAGACATTAACATCGACAAGAGCTTCTCTCTTAGCGGTGAAACGAAATTCACGTACCCAACCCAGCCCAAGGTAAATCAATGCCGATAACTGCGCAATCCCTGCGTATCTGCTTTTTCACAAAAGTCAAACGAAGATGCGACAAACGATGATTTTCCTTTCCAGGATATGATAGTGAAAGGAAATATTCACAGCAGTAGCGAGCATCCATTGCATCTCAACTTGGACATCGACGTATTCGCGAAGAAATCACAGAGAATTTCTATCGCAGCGCTTATTGAACGAGAACGGCTTCAAAAGGGCATTAACATAACTGGATCGATCGAAGTGAACAGCCGTGGTCAACAATTGAAGCTAGATTTGAAATCGCACTTGGCGATATTCTTGAATCAGTTAGAATTCGGCAATTCCATCACGTACAACGATGTTAATCAGAAACCGAAAACCATGGGCATTTACTATTCCGCCGATATAAAACAAGTATCCGCTTTGATCACCCTGCCTGACAAAGAAGTATTCAGAGATGAGTGGAAGATGGATATGTCAAAGAATGCTCTGAACTTAAACAGGGAATTGTCCCTGCTAGGCGAGACGCCGCGAGTAATGACGTTCGAGATTAGTTGGAACTCAGTCAAATTCGAAGCTTATAGAAAAGGTGAGCTTAATTAAAGGATAGACCATCTCCGTACGGTTTAACATTTTATAATTCCTTTTTTTATATTTTTCCAATTTGTCCCATTAATTTTAGACAAGCCTAACAGCAAATTGAGCATCAACGGACAAGTGGTTCTTGATGAAAAGGCAGAAATTCACGCGGACACCTATAAGGAAGGCGCGAAAAGCAACCTGTTCCACATTTTGATCCACCTTGACGAAAAGCAATTCCTCAAACCGGAATTCGGTTACAGCAAAGAAAATATTGCTAAATTAGTGGTAATTATCGCCTGACGTGTGAAATGAAATGAATTACACTATAAAAATCGTAATCTCATTATAAACTGATTTCAATTCTTTCAGGAGTTCCTAAAGAACGACAACAAAGATTTGATTCAAAAGCAAAGAGATCTACAAAATTATATAGTGGAAGAAGTAAAGACGGAAGGTAAAGATTTCATAGATCACCTGAAGAAGGCATCACCAAATATGAAGCCGCTTCTTGATTATTATCAAGGAGAATTGAACAAAATGAAGGACGAGATCAACGCCGACGAGAACGTAAAGCAGGTCCAAGCTGCTTTGTAAGTATTTTTAAAAGATATTATAATAATATTAAAACCATGTAGCACCAATATAAAAAATAATATCGTACGCTGAGCGTGTTGTAAAAAACAATTATTCGTATTGTAGTAACAAGTATTTCGGAGCGATAGTCACAGCCGTAGCGGAAACTATGAAACAAGTCACTAAAGACTTGGAAAAGCTGCATCAGGCCTTACAAGAAATAATAAACAACGTGAAAAAATCCATGAACTCCGTCTATCCGTCGCTGAAGGAATCGGTCGACAAGATAATCGGCCAAGCAGTGGAAATCACCGACGCAGCGATGAAAGTCGCTAGCGCTTATCTCACGGCGATCTTGGATATTATCAAGCAACATGAGAAAGAAATACAGGACGCGGTAAGCGTGATTTCAGAAGTGGCTCACTCAATCTGCAAGTTCGCCAAGAAGGGATTGGAACCGATCATGCAAGTGGTAGAAGCATTGACCGCTAAAGGGACTCCAGAGGATTTCGAGGTATTCAAAGAAAAGCTGGAACAGCTGAAGGACTTCCAAGTACCGGAAGCCATTCTGGGCCCGATCGAAGAACTGTGCAAGGCCTTCAAGGGTCTTTTGCCCACGGAAGAGCTTAAGGATTTCCTCGATGCCATCTGTCAATACGTCGTGAAGCACGGCAGACGCGAGAAGGTATGATTTTTCATATTTAAACGTTTGATCAACGTTGCCGTGGAAAATCAATCGCAAGGGATTTCTCCTCTTCTACCATCGTTACTTCGTTCCATCGCTATTATTCTTTTATTTTGCCTTGCTCTCGCTCATGCTCTCTCATGCCCTACAAATGACAACTCGCCACTACTCTCCTAAAAATCGCACAAATCCTTCGACATGACAACGCTGCGCTGAATCAGAATTTGAATTNTATTAAAACCATGTAGCACCAATATAAAAAATAATATCGTACGCTGAGCGTGTTGTAAAAAACAATTATTCGTATTGTAGTAACAAGTATTTCGGAGCGATAGTCACAGCCGTAGCGGAAACTATGAAACAAGTCACTAAAGACTTGGAAAAGCTGCATCAGGCCTTACAAGAAATAATAAACAACGTGAAAAAATCCATGAACTCCGTCTATCCGTCGCTGAAGGAATCGGTCGACAAGATAATCGGCCAAGCAGTGGAAATCACCGACGCAGCGATGAAAGTCGCTAGCGCTTATCTCACGGCGATCTTGGATATTATCAAGCAACATGAGAAAGAAATACAGGACGCGGTAAGCGTGATTTCAGAAGTGGCTCACTCAATCTGCAAGTTCGCCAAGAAGGGATTGGAACCGATCATGCAAGTGGTAGAAGCATTGACCGCTAAAGGGACTCCAGAGGATTTCGAGGTATTCAAAGAAAAGCTGGAACAGCTGAAGGACTTCCAAGTACCGGAAGCCATTCTGGGCCCGATCGAAGAACTGTGCAAGGCCTTCAAGGGTCTTTTGCCCACGGAAGAGCTTAAGGATTTCCTCGATGCCATCTGTCAATACGTCGTGAAGCACGGCAGACGCGAGAAGGTATGATTTTTCATATTTAAACGTTTGATCAACGTTGCCGTGGAAAATCAATCGCAAGGGATTTCTCCTCTTCTACCATCGTTACTTCGTTCCATCGCTATTATTCTTTTATTTTGCCTTGCTCTCGCTCATGCTCTCTCATGCCCTACAAATGACAACTCGCCACTACTCTCCTAAAAATCGCACAAATCCTTCGACATGACAACGCTGCGCTGAATCAGAATTTGAATTATATTTCAAGTATATTACAAGAAAGAAAATAGTATAAAAAGTTTGTCTATTTTATCTAATTAAAAAATTCTCTAATCGAATCGATCTAAATTAATTTGCTCAAATGATCATAGGTTGACGAGATGAGCGAGCTCAAGAATATCTACGCCCGTTTAGCGGGTGCCATTCACTCAATCCTGCCGTTGTTGGAGAAGCAAGTAACACTGGACAATCTGTTGGAAGCCGTCCAGATCCCAGAGCTCGATTTCAGTCTTTTGTCCAAACTCCCGGGCGTCTCCACCCTAAAAATCTCTATCTTGAACCTCTTGCGCAACGGCGAGCTACCGACTCCTTTGGATCTGTATTACACGTACAGGTAAGTAATTTCGATAAATAAACTCTCGTTAACCATACGCAACAAGCTCTCCTTTGTTTCTCGCCCGGCTTACGACGAAACGAGACCCTCTCGAATATCTGCTCGCCAGTATTAATTATTATAACACCACAAAGCCGGTTCAATTAAAACGACAAATGCAAATTACGTTGGATACTCTGATATAATTTCCGTCAGCCTTCTTCCGTTCTATTACCATACGAAGGACGCGCTATGACGATTGCGCCGCAGAAATTTAACTTCCCTTTTGTTTATAAAACATTATTTTTAACAACACTCAATCTGTCCAATTGTATCTTTTAATTAGAAATTTAAAATACTTCTAAAAGAACAAAATCATATTAAAAATTCTATATGTTCAGACCGACTCTTGACCCGAAAGACATCATACCACCGTTCTCCAAATCGGGAATCGTCGCCGACGGCGGACACTTCTTCACGTTCGATGGACGCCATTTGAACATGCCTGGAACTTGCACCTACGTGTTGGCACAAGATATGCAAGATGGAAATTTCTCCGTTATAGGAAACTTCAACAATGGAGTTCTAATTAGTGTGACAGTAACCGAACCGAAGGAAAGCATGACGATCAAGAACAATGGAAACGTGAGTGGGAAGATCCGATACGATACCCTACAACCAATGATATTCGTATATAAAAGAGAGAGATCCGTAATTCGTCAAGAACAAATTGCTAATCTGTGATCTGAACGAAAGAACTTGCAGAATTACATGACTTAATAAAAGACAGCAATTGTTATAATTGATAAGACAGGCATTAAACGAACGAGTTCTCGCGTGATGATCCTCTAGTTAACGTTACTTAATTCTTTCGTAAGACTCTTCACTACATGACAGACGAGTAATCTATCCAACTATTAAACTGCACTTAGCTGCGTCCTAGACAATTGAGTTAGCAACCGAATAATGAACGCAATCTCCGTTGCAGATTCTGGTGAACAACAAACCGAGCGATTATCCAGCGAACACGAAGAACCTGCACGCGTACCTGCTGCAGCCTTTCGCCACGATCAAATCTGATTACGGTGTCCGCGTTACGTGCCCGAACAAGTCACCTATGATTTGCGCTGTCCACGTTTCCGGGTTCTACCACGGCAAGCTCCGCGGCCTCCTCGGCGACGGCAACAACGAGCCGTACGACGACTATACTTTGCCCTCCGGAAAGGTATGCGTCTTGTGTCACGATAGTGAACCTAAAAGCCGTTCCCACTCACGGAAGCCGTTCGCGGAAATCGCGCGACCCGAAATATCATTCCTCCAATCTTTAAAGGGAAACGTTCAACTGTTCGCGTTAGGGTTGGATTTCATGAATATTTCCCTTTGTCAAAAGGAAATATTATTTTCGTAGAAAGAGAAAACGCGTTGTCAAATTTTATGATGAATGAATAAATTATAATACGAGTCATTTCAGAATTATGGATCATCCGCATTATTCTTCTTTTTGTTGTTAGATCACCGAAAGCGGTAGCGATTTCGGAAACGCATATAAACTGAAATCAGATTGTCCAGCTGCTTCTGCCGTAGAACCAAAGGGACGTGATCCAACTTGTACGAAGTACTTCACTAGTGATAATTCACCCCTAAGGTAACTAATCAGTATCCTTGTTACTTTTAATTAAATATCCATTAGGCTCCTATTCTAATTTTTACGAATCTACTATTTCATTATATAAATATATAATTTTCGTTCTTTCTAAAATTTATATTAATTGTAATTAATTATTATATCGTTATGTATAATTATAATCCAGTTATCCATTTTTTGACAAAGCAACTTTATAAACAGAGTACATAATCTTCCATCTTTCACTTCTTATATCAAGAAAATATCATTTGTGGCATTTACTCAGAATTTACGAAAGCTATACATATTTACAGTTCTTGCTTCAACTATGTTAATCCGGCTCAATATCGCGACGCCTGCACAGCGGAAAATTCTTGCTTGATGACCTTAGCATATCACATGGCTTGCTACGCGAAGGGAATCATGAGTACCAATCTTCCACCCACTTGTGGTGAGTGTCCTTTATCCTAACTCTGATCCCGTGTCGAACACGAGCATGAGACTAATACTCTCGCGTTTCTTTTCAGGGAATTGCAAAGTGGGAGCAAATAAAGTCGAGATCGGCGACACGTTCAGCGTGAAGATCCCGAAGCAAGAGGCTGACATAATTTTCGTCGTGGAACAACAGACTCCGAATGACAAAGTATTCAAGGAAATGATCACCCCGTTGATGTCCGAGCTCAAAGAAGAATTGAAACAACAAGGAATTTCGTGAGTATCTTTTGACGAAATGAAAATTGTCTACATTAAGTCGAAACAACATTTCGTTTTAGCCCGACGCAGTGAATGATATGTAAAAATCCATGTAATTTACAGAGACGTGCATATTGGATTGATCGGGTTCAGCGAAAAGACGAAGTGGCCGCAGCATTACACGTTGAACGGAGACACTAACATCGACGGCGAGGTGAAGAGCATGAAATTCTACGAGCCGGAACCGATCATTACTTACCAGGTACAATTCTACTTTCACTAAAGTATCGCGTCTAGAAAATTACGACCTCCCGCGGCTAAGTAGTAAAAGTAGAAACGGAGTAAGAGAATTGATTTTACTCAAATGCGAGGGTGGATGAAATACGTGCAACGGATCATTTTGAAAAAACAGAGATATAAATTATACATATATATATATATATAAGAGAAGGTATCAAAATTCTAGTTAGGGAGAACTTGTTCGTTGAATTAATTACCTGTATCATCAGAGATTAAGTGGAATTAAACGAGCGCCAGGTAAATGCAAGTTGACGTAACGGAAAAACTGCTAAGATCAATCGGGAGTTCAGTTACACTCGTAATCGCTTGGTTGACGCGACGGCGAACGTTTTTGCGCATCGCCGTTCACCAACATCATTAACATTTCCGTTTACGTATTTGATGCGTACTACATGTTCGACGACCACGTGGCCGGCGTACAACGTGTTTACTCCCTTCTAAACAACGAGAAGTTGAATCACCGTCTGTTACAATTTTTTCCTCGCCATGACTCAAAGTCGATTCATCAAGCGCGACAACACTTCTCAGCTGCGTAAAAAGTTTCCATTACTCATTACAAGAAAATTGTTTGCGTTCGTTAATAGAATCCAGATTGTTGCTCTATGAATATTCAACTTAATTCATATTTAATGTCGATCACGATTATATCTTTTCCGCGTATCAGAGGAAACCTTTTTTCCTCATTTCTTTCTCTCATTACGTCTAGTTAATCGTTAGCATAGTTTATAAGCTCCGCTACTTTTTATCGGGCGTTGCTTGCGTGCGTCAAACAAGAAAATAATGATTTCCAGGAAGCGAAGAATGGCAGCATAGAGGAAAAGCTCCAGTATTTACAACAGAAATTGAGCGTCGAACTGGGCACGTTCCGATTGACCGATGCTTACGAGGCGGCGATTCACTATCCCTTCAGACCAGGAGCGGCCAAGGCCGTAATTGGCGTGATCGCTAACCCCTGTGAAAAGAGCCCACTTCCTATCTCGGTAAGCACGACCTTTGCCACGATAGTTCAAATATACTGACAATAGGATGTGACATTTGAAACGGAGTCGATCCTTTTATAAGCAACGTTAGAAATTATATGTAATATTCCGATATTCCTTGTTGAATGAAATAATCAAGCAGTAGACATTAGATAAAAAATTCGCTACTGCTTTAAAATAATTAGAACACAGAGATTAGCGTTCTTGCTCTTCGCATCCTTGTTGATCTAGGGGTTTCGAAGGAGCGGATTAGAAGGAAGCCGTAATTGCGCTAACAATAGCAATTTAGGGTTCACGCCGTGAGTCAAGAGCTATTGGCTGCAATTTAGTAATTAACAGTCGTTAGCGAGTAATCAGAGCTCACTAGAATCGACAGACCTCTATCGTACAAATCAAATCATTAAAGCTATTAATCCTCTTACTATTATACAATATATGACAAAATATATTAAATTTGAAAATAAAATATTGTTAACGTGTACTCGACTCCATGAACGTATAATTTTTAAATATTAATTAACCTATTTTGTTAGTAATCGGACAATTCTAAACGACCGTCTCTTTTACAGTTGCAACAATTGAGGATTCTACTGGGCCACAAGATCTATCGCGACTTGGGACTTACCTATTATCACATATCGTTCCCCAAGGAGCTAACCGTCTCAGGAAAAGCGCAACAAAATATCGTCGGATATGACCAGGACACCGTGTACACGTTCGCTGACAGCAAGAAGAAACCTCTCGTCGGTAACAGCGACATGAAGAGCAATCTCTCCCCAGCGGTCAAAGACGTCTGCGCTGACTTCGCGATTCTGGTAAGTGTTCAACAAGTGACCCTCGTCTATTCTTACGAACCCTAGCCCTAGCGAGAGAACGGAAACACGCGGCGCGGATGAATGGTGGCCGCCGCGTCGTTGAAATCGGGGAGAATCGAGGGGTAGAGAGAAAGAGAGAGAGAGAGAGAGAGTTTATCTGAAATAATTGTGTTACAGTCTGGCGGCGCGACGTTCAGCTCCGACAACTTCTTGGATGCGAAACCGAACCAGAAGAAGCAGTTCGTCGCAGTGACCGCAAAGAAGGTCGCCGAAGACCTCGCTAATTTAGAACTCGAGAAAGATTGCGCGTGCAACTACCAGTATGGTCTCACCGGAAGTGCCGAGTGTAAAATCGTTGGCCGTAAGGAAACACCGGTAAGTAGACTGATTCCCAAAACCGTTCCTACAATATTTTACATCCTCTCGTTATCACTCTTTATAGGAATCTTTACTTTCGCTTGTTTCAGGGTTGTATTAAAAAATAAATCTAATGAAAATACGAATGTTCACGTAGATTGAAATCATTCTTAAGGATGTATTGGCTATATAGTCAATACCAAAAGTTCATGTACCTTAGAAAAACACATTTGCTATAATTAAAAATAGTTCATTCTTCTTCCAATTTCGATATTTAACGAGTTAAGTATGATTAATTGGCATTTTATTGATGTTGACAAAATCTGACCATCCCAGCGACGAAACGGCGAACTTTTGGAAAAAAATTTCGTTTTTCCTCAATAACTCCTAAACCCTTGGAGATACGGGAAAATTGCATAGGACCTTTCTTGTAGAGGACGACGAGATCTATAATTTCTGTATAAAAGTTTCTTACTAGTGTCAGTAGTTAACGAGTAATTTGCAAAAAACTGTTTTTTCATTTTTCGTCAATAACTCGTCAACTGTTAATGCTAGCGAAATAATTTTATATGGAAATTGTAGATCTCGTCGTCCTCTACAAGAA